GGTGAAGATACTCATTCACGAACTTCGAATGCCCTTAAAACTGTTACCGTTGAAATGAGTCAAAGAATAACTTGCTTGGCATCGATTGATTTGGTTCGAGTGTGCATTACGCTTCTACGTGCACGCCGTGCATTACGCTTCTACGCAGAGGTGGTGGAAAGGTGTAACTTCTAAGTTTAGGTGATTTTGTCCATGCAAGCATATGTTTCGTTTAGGGTTTGTAAAGGTCGATACGCACGAATCTATTTGAGATGTATTATTAGTCATCTACGTGGCGGTTTTTTTTATATTTTGCAGTTTTCCTCACATCTAGGTCCTCTGCAGCTTTCTGTCCACTCCATTACTTTCCTGTCCGCTCCATCAAACTTAGCGATGACACTTTTGTGCTGTTTGGTGCTCACCGACCCTGCGTTTACGACCCCCCCCTTCCCCAGCGGCCAAGTACGACCCCCTATGGGTTTCACACAACGATGCTGTACCCTGCCGGCACTACTTCTTCGATCGCTCTAGAGAAATCCGCATTATAGAGTATTTTCTTGATTAATTGTAGGTAACTCCACGATCACGGCCATCTGAATAGCAGAAAAATTTGGGATGAATCGGGGAAGAGTTTGTTCTCTTTTTCTCACAGAAATGAGAATATGGAGAGATTGGATCTCTCAAGAGGCTAGGTTAGCGGTTGGATTCTTATTAGTCCTTATTTCGATTGCTCGACCCAATGTTCCCTCTTCCTTAATGGTTTTTAGTTGAACTGTTCGTACCCTCCTTCTGATATGCTCCGAAAAATCTAATTTATCAGTGTAGTAGAAACCGAGAGCTCTGACAGACTGGGTAGCAGAGAGTGGACCCCATCTAAAGTGTACGCGGACGATGGTTAGAGGTTGCCGGAGTCGAGTTTCATGTAAACTGTTTTCTGTGGAGCTATAGGCAACTGCCATTTCTTGGACCAGTCGACTGTTACATCTATGGCCTTTTGCACGACCAGATAGTCCGTATCATGCGAGATCGTCTTATAAATTTTCAAGTCGTCAGCATATACTTTAGCTATGACTCCTGCTTCTCTGAGCCTACCAGGAAGCCGAATATGTATAGGTTGGAAAGAAAGTCCTGTCAGTGTTTTTTAGATAGCCTACAGTTTTTGATCTTCGAAGCTCGAACATGACGTAACATGCTAAGGTTGTAGAACATTCTCGAAGCTTTTCCACAGGGTATATCAAGGCTCCTGCTCTTCCCTGTGTTTATTTATGATGCCAGTTTCGACAAACACATGCATTTTCGATGTGATCCATCTTCTATGATGCGCCGCGCACTTGGAGCGACTGGCAGCTGCCTCGTTTAACATCAACTGTGCATTGGGGGAGGACACCACCACCGTCAGTACTGTCCACCGTTGATTCGCTCGGATTTCGCGAAAGGAGAGACGATCTTCGAAGACAAACCTCGTCTGGGACGCCCTCGCGGCGTAGAAGATTCCGCCGTTCTCGAACCTGTCAGAGAGGATCCAGAGGCTACCACGCGCAGTATTGCGACAAGGCTAGGGTGTAGCCATACAACAGCTCTAAGCCGCCTTCAGGCCCTTGGCTACAGAAAAGTCCTCACGCGATGGATACCTCATGCTCTAACAGATGGCACGCGGTATGCCAGGGTGAGCATCTGTCGATCCCTTCTTACTCCTACCGGAAGAGTTTTCTGGAACGTATATGTGACCTGGAGATGAAAGCTGCGTCGCTCTGTGATTACCAACACGAATACGTCGTGCCATGTGGCTCCCTCGAGGAGAAGACCCGCCTACGCAACCCAGATCGAACCTGCACTCCAAGAAGGTCCTCCTCTGCTGCTTCTGGGATTCGAAGGGCATGCTGCACCACGAGCTGCTTCCGCAAGGGCATACGGTTACCGCTACCGTTTACGCGAGCCGCCCAAAACTCCAGAAACATCGCGCTAGGCTCTTTCGATGAAAAAGCGGCCGAGACGAGCTTCGGTGCACCTCCTCCATGATAACGCCAGACCACATGTGGCTAAAGAGACCCACCGACAAATTGAGGAACTAGGCTGGGAGACCCGTCCATCCACCATATTCTCCAGACCTAGCCCCCTCCGACTACTACTTGTTCCGCTCCCTGCTTTCCTAGGTAAGAAAACCTTCAGCGAATTTGATGGCATCAATCGAGAAGTTGCCTACTTCTTCGACTCGCAGCCTCCTCAGTTCTGGGAGAAGGGGATAGCTGAGTTGCCCATTAGGTGGAGCACTGTAGTGGCTAACAATGGCGGTTATATTATTGATTGGTTTTTATTTCATGTTGAGTTAGAAATAAAAAGAAAAAAAAATCAACAGTGACAGGACTTTCTTTCCAACCTATATATTAAAAAGGACAGGTGATAAGACACCACCTTGGGGTACTCCACTTAGCACCTGTCTAAACATTGCAGTAGGACTGGTCAACTTTGGACCTAGAAGGTCCTGCCGAAAAGATATTCTGATATCCACTTTCTGAGAACAGGATGGAACCCGACTCTTAGTCTAAAGATGAGTTTCTTATGTGAGACTCTATCAAATGCTTTCGCAAAGTCAAAATATACAACGACGCAAGAACCTTATTATAAAGGGTTTCAGTCCAGTCATTCAGACACTCAACAGAGCGACCAGGAACAACTCCATGTTGATGATTGGAGATGATATGATTGAGATGGATATGACGATTGATCTGGTTTCTCAGCACTTTCTTGAAGAGTCTGCAAAACAAGGATGTTATGTTGACAGGACGATAATTTTCGGGACTGGATGATGGCTCCTTCTTCAAAATGGGTGTAACAAAGGAACCACCGAGACGGAACCTCACCTTGGGTTAGCGATTGATTGGAGAGATTTGCAAGCGGTCCACAAATAACTGGAGCCGTTTTTTGCACTATTATGAAAGGCACGAAGTCAGGGGTAACGACGAAAGATACAGGCCACTTGATGATCAGGTCGTACAATGCAGAAGCGCTAAACCAAAGAAAGTCTTGCATAGGTTCAACATTAGGAAAACTAAATCAGGGGTACTCCCATCATCTTCCCGGAAGACTCACAAAGTGTTCAGCTAACAGGTTGGCTTTATCCATGGAAGACGTTGCTATGATATTCCCTTGCCGCAAGCAAGCGATACGCTCTATGACCTGAATTCTTTCACTTAAGTACCTATAGAAACATTTAACATTCCCGGACTCAATAATTTTCTTCTCCAGATAGATATTGTATAGTTTGAAAGGAAAGTCTTGTCATTCTTGTGACTTTTTCGTTTATTTTGGGAATTAGTCAACAATATACTCGTCATAGTTAGGCACTACAGTGCTCCACCCAATAAACAGGTAAGCATTCCCCTCCTCCCAGAACTGAGAAGGCTGCGAGTAGAGTAAGTCAGCGCCCTCTCGACTGATGTCATCAAGATTGCTGAAAGTTTTCTTAGCTAAGAAAGCCTTGAGGAGGCGGAGCAGGTAGCGGTGGTAAGGGACTACGTCAGTAGAGTACTATGAGCGGGGATTGGTCTTGCAGCCTTGCTCCTCAATTATTCGGTAGCTCTTCATAGGAGGTATGGGGTCCTGTGTACTACAAAGGAGGATGACCCGAAGCTCTCGTCTCGGTCATTCCGCCACAGTTCGCCTTCGTTTCGGGAAGCTAGCGACAGACGAATCCCTGCGTGATTGGTGTGTTCTTAACAGAGCAGCTCGTTCTTGCAGCAAACCCTCTCGCGCACCTGAGGCAAGGAGGCAGCACAGGAGAACCTCCCTCGAAATATATGTACGGTTTGGACTGGCTAACGAGGACTTCTTTGTGAGAGAGAGACGTACACGGTAAACTGTGTGGGTTTGAAAAATCATAGATGGGTGGGAGGACCCATCTCTCATCCCCACTGAACAGTCTCCTGGAAACTCCTTCTGACGAAGGTGGAGGAGGGGAGACTGATCAAGGAGTACCTGGGTGCACAGCGTGCCATCGGTCAACGTATGAGTGATCCATCGAGCCAGTACTTTTTGGTAGTCAACGGCTTGCAGGCGGTTGACGACTATCAGTTAGGTACATCCGAGTCTTGTCGCAAGACTGTGAGTGGTAGCCTCTGGATCCCCCTTGTCTGCTTCGAGAACGGTGGAGTCTTCCACTTCGTGGGGCCGTCCCAACCGAGGTTTGCCTTCAAGGGTCGTGTCTCCTTTCGCGAAGCGAGCGAACCAGAGGTGGACTAAATCATGATGGTAGTGTCCTCCGCCAATGCAATGCTGATGTTGCGGACAGCTGGCCGCTGCTCCAGTGTCGCCGGGCACTGATAGCACATGAATGTCCAAGGATGCTCCTGTGAAACTGTCATCGTAACTAAACCCAGAGAAGAGCAGGTGCCGTCCCACGCCTCTTGCAGGAAAGCGGTGTCCTACAAGCATACCATGTTACGTCATGTACGAACATCGAGAATCAAAAACTGTAAGCTTTTAAAAAAACACTGACAGGACTTTCCTTCCAACCTATACTTTTTGAGATGGGCGAAGAATTTCATTGTTGAAAGCTATTGTAACTGTATATCATCCTTTTCGATCCGCCTAGCTTACACTGAACATAACATTTACACATATTTTGGGCAAAGTGCCGTAAAGAACTAGATGGATTTGGTGCGAGAAACACTCTTCCAAGGTACAAAGTAGTAGATCGCACTGTGTAGAACAGACAAGAGCAGCTCGTACTTCTCATTCAAAGAGTCTCTGGAGCAAGGGAACCCAATGTATTTGTGAAAGACTACGATTTAGTCCACTAAAGTTACATCTGGAGTACATACGCCGATAAGTGTAACTATGACAGGTAGTTGAAACATGAGATTGAACGAAATGCTATTATTATCACTAGCTCCTACCGGAGAAACACAGTCAATTCTTTTGATCAAAACGGTGCCCCCCCCTAGAGAATCTAAATCAAGTATGCTAATCTTCTCTAGTGGCTTCACGCAGAACGTGTTGTTTGAGATTAGACATTGAGTGAGTTCTTTCTAGCCGGATACTAAAGATGATCTATAGAGAGCTCGCTTTCTTGGCAAAACTCATAGTCAGGTAGATTGAAGTCACCCACAATATTACTGCACCTCTCGCATGATACTAGATCACTAAGAATCTTGAAAAGTAACTCAGAGTTCTCCTTGTTGCAAGAAGGGGCTCTGCACACAACAATAATCTTGAGGTTGCAACCTATTTACACTACATCCGCACAAATAATCAAAGGAATCCACAACTGACTCAGCAAGTATCAGGGATATAGACAACCCACGTTGCCCAAACAGGATGCCCCTCCTGCACAGTTCTTTGGTCACTGAACACAATCATGATTATCGACTGGCCAGTAGAGAGGACAGCGTAATATGATCTGGGTTCTCATAACGATGATCTCCGAAAAGGCAAAAATATCACGATGGCCACTTAATATCAGGAGTAAAGGGTCCGCACTTCTAGAGACTGATCTCACATTGGAATTAAAGAAACGCCAACTGTAAATTATCTCATGGATAATGCTTTCATAATTTCCGTCCACTTCAATGGGAAGACTAATGACATGGCTGGGACTTGAGCCGGCACTTGGCACTACCCCACCATTGTCGATATGTGCGATTGTGCAGTCGCTGTTCGATATGCGATTATGCGATTACGGCGTCTTCGTCTTCACTTTCCTCTGTTCTGCGGGTAAGTGGATCCCTTTAGTAGACTTCCCTTCCTTAGAATAGTTGCGAAAGTGCGATGCCGGGCGGTCGTTTCACAGAACGTCGCTGAAAGTTCGAGATGTGTACACAACTTGACAAAATCTATCTTTTCCTAATTGAGGCCTACCTTGACGATAAATTTTTACTGGGTTGCACTCAAAAGACTCAAAAATAGAAAAGTAGAAGAGAAGTAGGAAATCAAGTACGTTACAAACATTAGCACAATCATGTGGCAATGGTTCTTGTAAATTTTGAGACTTCAGTTCTGGTACTCCGTTGATAACCAAAGATCGTAATCTCTCCTCTTCATGATAAGGCAATGCTGATTTCTCATTTTCATTTGTCGATGGCGGTAGGGACGGGGGGTCGGGCAGAGACGGTACCAAGATCACGAGTGTTTCGAGCTTCTATGGCAGCAATATCATTAGTACTACTACTGTTCACAATTGTGAATCACGAGGCAGTACTTCACGTAATGTTTCAAGCTCTCGCCTGAGTCCAGCGTTTCCTTCACGAAGCGAGTACAGCTCCTTTGTGACCACTTTCTGAACCACTTTCTTTATACCGTCAGCTATACGACTGGATTTGGCGATTGCTGCTCCTGTAACTCTTTGGGCATTAGCACCTCATTCGGTCCACTGCCAACCGTTCTGCTGTCCCCACTCAAGCCGCTTCGTTCGATCTGCGACGGTTGTTATTTCCATATCGCATACACTAGAGCGTAATAAATAGGTATAGGTCCAATCAGATAGGGCACCCCAAAATAAAGACGGAGGGACACGATCAGATCAGGATCGATCAAGAACATTTGCGGGGGCGGGGGGGGCGGGCGCGGTGAGCGTCCGAGTCGGTATATTGCAGCTCGATGGAGCTCTATAAGGGTACCTTTCTTAGGAAAGGAGTCACGACGCGGAACGACAAGACAGAGCGGTCATCCTTCGTCACATCTGATTAGCCAGTAGAGTGGATGACTGGTTAGGGATGATTTCTCAAAAACACGATCTCCGCACTCGGAAGCGAGTTTGAAGTTGTTTAATGTTCATGTACGTAAAGACCAACATCTGAATCATTTTCAGCCTTTCCGATATGCTTCTGCCCGAATCGCTTTCTGGTACTGCTAATAGGACAACGGAGCATTATAAAGTAAGAGTGTTAATGAAAAATGAACTTCTATGTCCTATAGACACAACTCTTTCCTGAACCCTAAACAGATTTTCTCACAAGAACGGACACTCGAACGAACTGCTTATCCGTGTCTTCACCACATGATCAGATGCGAACGACGAAAAAATGAAGCGCAAAACTCTTAGTTACCCGAGTAGATATGATGGTTGCAGGCGTCTCAGCACATCTCCACACGTTCTGGGGTTCTGTGGCCCGAGGAATTTTTCAATCTTGTTGTTTCATGGTTCGGTACGGCATGCGACGGTATACATGAGCAGTTCCGTCCTCTAAAATGTAAACCCCGCCCCCACCCCCCCCCCCCCCCCCCCGCTCCTGCAATTGTACTTTACTAACGACTCAACTATTACAAAACAACAAAAAGAGTTTTATGTAATATCATGAACAATGAGATACTTTCAACAGCAATTCAAGCATGGTATTCCCGAATACAGGAGAACCTTCAATGGCGCGTTCTTTACGGACAGGCAACTCCGAGAGAAAAAGTGGTGTCCCATTTCACACTTCACCGATGGAGAAACCTTTATACCCTCGATTTTTTTTTCGTCGCTGCTATTCCTCCCTCTACCAATCACAGCTTACGTTCACTCTCACGGCTTTTCTCGACAGCTATCCTTCCCGCACAAGATAAGATCATAAAGATAATTAAGCATCTGAAAAAAAACTTAATTTGTAAATGGAACCTATTCGCTTGTAAGTCACTCTCTCTATTCATATCTTCACACTCATACAATTCTCCTTGCTAGAGTCCTGAGTGGAGCCATTCTGTTCCCCTTGAGCTACTGTTGGGAGCAGAACTACTTCTTCTTTCGGAATGTGCTGAGACCGGGACGCTTGGGACATCGTACAAGCAGAAGAATCAGCTGCGAATTGTCGTTCAAAATGATTGCAATGAACAATGAAACAGGGAGGAAACATCAACTCACCGGCTCGGAGCATGTAAACAATCGCACGATGTGCCCGCTTTAATGTTATCCGAACAGGATTAGAAATTTATTTCAAAGGGGCAATCATAACATAGCACGCATAGTTGGTCCCTTTCTGTTTTGAAAGGGCATCTAGTATGGCGCATGAAGTAGCCTTTTTCGAACAGACCCTTCCCTTTGTTGATGTCACAGC